ACTTGATGAGTTTGGTATGTTTATGGAAAACATTGTTGCATAAAATTTATGTGGCACTTTAATTGTCATAGTAAAGATTAAAGATTAGAACAAATGACTATGGAGTGCCCATATCTTAAAGGAGCCATCGTAGTGAAAGAAATTATATTGTTGCATCACCAAGAGCTCTTTACTTTAGTGGTGGAGCAAGATGGAAAGTTTGTTTTTTGCTATGTCAAAATATAAAAGAGTCATTAGAGAAAAGACATAAGCTAGCAATAAATTTGTGATCAACAAGATTACCAGACCAATCAGCATTAAATGAGTATGAAGCATAAGTGAAAAATGGGTAGAGAAGGGGAAGTACAGGAAACAACTTTTGCTTGACATAATGAATAATATGAAGTACAACAGCACAATGAGGGGAGCTCAGTACAACCATAAACCTGCAAATAATATCGATTACATAAGTAAAGTAGTGGAGAACCAGGTTGTGGATTGCAAGATCAACTAGTGGAGATCCACCATCTTTTAGTGTCAATTGAGCAATGGGCTCAAGAGGAGTAACAATGGTCTTACCATCAGTTAACCTAACTCTGGAGATAAAATCATAGGCATATTTTGCCTGAGAGAGAAGACAACCATCATTTGAAAAAGTGTCCTCAAATCCCAAGAAACTAAACTACATACATAGCAAACTATTTTCATTGTAAAGGGGAGCTTGAAGGTGAAACCTCCTTTGGAGGCCCTTTTGGCTAGCTATTTTTTCATAGCAAAAAGGGTATATTGACCCCTTTGCTTTCAATGATTATTGAAATGAATCTCAATACTTCTTCTTGAAATAGATCTCCACTCATACTTTCAAGTTGAATAAAATTAACTCTCTTACATTTTAATCAAAATAAATTAGCCAAAATTTAACAAAAAATGTATCATTCCATTTTTCACCTCTAATACCCATTTAGCTCTTCTTAATTTTGCAATTTTGGATGCATTTTCGAATGACATATTTTCTTTATAATTAGCCACAATTGGATTGGTCAACTCTTTCTTGGTACCCCACTTTATTTCAACAAAAGAAAATACAATATCATCAGAAAAAGTGAGTCCCAAATTGCTAAATCAACAAGAGCTAAATGAGTATTAGAAGTGAAAGATGAAATGGTGATGTATGATTACGTTACCTGTTAAATTTTGACTAATTCATTTAAATTGAAAGGTAAGAGTATTAATTTCATTTAATTTTAGAGTATAAGGAAAGATTTATTTTAGAAAAATGTACAAGTTTTCATTTCAATAATTACTAAAAGTAAAGGGGTACATTTATCCTTTTCTCCTTTTTCGATACCTTTGGTAATTAATTTTTTTTATTATTTATTTTTATATTCTTATATTTATGTTTTTCTTATTTTATTTTACACTTTAAATTAAAGAAGTAAATATCGTACCGTACCAGTCGATATGGCCAGTACGTACCGATTTTTAGAATAAACCAAAACGGAGTAAGAATGAATTTCGTTTCGGTCAAAATTCAGTGATTTTGATCAAATTCCGATGTACCGGACGAAATTTTGACATACCGGCCGGTACACTGAAATTTAACCGGTATAATATGCAAGAATTTAAAAAAAAAAAAAAAAAGATTTCCTAGCCTAAACGGCGTCGTTTTGGCTAGCCTTGCAATTTCGATTGCGCAAATCCTCCTCTATTCTCGCGTCCAGCTGTCTTGACTTGTCAATCTTCCATTTTTTGGTACAGTTGCCCGCTACAATTCAAATTAATTCAAATTTAAAAAGGGCAAATTTCATTTTTAGTCTTCAACTTTAATATTTTATATAATTTTCATTATTTAGTTTTTTTATATACTTTTTTAGTCCATTCTTCATATTTTTTTTAGTCATTCTATTAATTACACCGTTAAGTTTTTTTAAATACACACATTTTTAATCC